ATATCCTGGACTGATACTCCATTGTACAGAGCAGTGGAGGAAGAGAGCCCCCTTGTGGGATGAGCTGACAGTACATTTTTTCAGTACATAATTATTAGAACAGTTTATTACCTGTTGTACTTCATTTGCTGGCACAAGATGTTCTGCATCATTCCTTAGAGGACAAAAAAAACAAAGCATATCATTGTGTAAGATAATATACTGTGGTGGAAAAAAAAATCAAACCACCCTGTTTCCTTCAATTTCTTGCTTATTTTAATGCCCAGTAACTCCTGTGTGTAACATCTGACTAAAACAGACAGAAAAGAAAAATTGAATGCCTAAAAGCTCTGTTTTTGCAGTATAATGTCATAGATATTGATGTAAAAACTTAAGAGGTTTTTGGTTATTATTAAGAAAACCAATGAAAATGATTAGACTCTAAACTCTTTTTAGCAATTTGTTTTATTATTAGATCTGTTAAAACCACTGTATCTTTAGTTGTGCCATACACTGAAATGATCAAGAAATTGAAGCGTGTGGTCAAATATTTTTAGACAAAGGTGTCAAAGGATGCACATATTACTTGAGTAGAACTATTGATACCATTTCTGTTTGTTTCTTTTTTTCTGAACGATGACAAGAGAAAATGAAATATTTTTGGCATTTTTATAATGTAAGGAGTAGAAAGTACAGATAATAGCATATAAATGAAAGGAGTAGAAGTAAAAAGTAGGCTGAAAAATAATTCCTCCTGTAAAGTGAAAAYAAAAAATAAACGAAGCAGTAATGTAACAAAGTATTTGTTCTTATTTGACACCTCATATTTGACAATAAACAAGCAATAAAAGAACTTTATAGGACATGTTGCACCAACCACTTATGGTATAAATAATGAAATTGTAAACCTCATTCATACCACCCACTTTGGATGTTATCGTCCATAAAATGGACATTATTAACGATTATCAGTCCCATAGAATAGCTTCAGACTGTCAGCTGGTTAGTATGAGGCATAAAACCACTAAGGTTAAATTTAGGGAAAATGACCTGGGCTACGTTAAAGTACACTGRACTCTGGAAGATTGCAGCCGGTTGCAGATTGTTGCATTCCAACATACAGTATATGGCACTAATAACCCACTAGGGGTCACAGACGGGACAGTCTGAAGCCATTCTATGTAATGTAATGGGACAGATAAATGCTAATAACGTCCATTTAATGGACTGACAACATCTGAACCGACTGATTCATACATACTGTATCCAAATACAGTAAACACGTAAATGATAAATATACACACACACNATTTAGAAATTTAGATTGACTGGAACTACAATTATTGTGTCTTTTCCTCGTTTTCACTGAAGAGGTGTTTATGTTTCATAAAAAGAACTCGTTTTCCTCATTAATTGAGAAGGTGGAGAAATTTGTTGGGTGAGTTTCTTACACAGGTGTGCTATGTCTGTGTGATTGTGTTGCCCAATTGTTCTCATGTGTTTCCACACCTCCCAATCAGCCCTCAGTGTATTTAAGTTCTGTCTTGCATGTTTGTTGTTGTGGGTGCATTGTCTCCTGTTGGGGTTCAGTCACGTCTCGTTTTAAAGGTCTTGTGAGTACTATCATTTTGTGAGAAGATTTTTGATCTGACCTAGTCTCTGTTTTATTATCAAGTCAAGAATCTGAGTTTTTGTAATCAAGCCAAGCCAAGCCATTTGAGTTTTTTGTATCCAAGACTTTGTTTTTTTTTTCTACAGTGCTATTAACTCTCCTCTGTTAAACTGTTCTTTTTTTTTTTTTGAGCTCCTGGTTCCCCACATATTCATGAGTCAGTCCTCGAGTAACTCTTCGCTGGGGAGCCTGAATCCCGACAGACTGCACCCACCATTCTGTGCTGTCTCTACAGGGTTTCCCTGTGATGCCTGCCTGGCTAAGGTGGGAGTAGACCAACTGGCAGATCTGCTGGAGAGGATGTTTCTTGCTCCTTGCCTGGTAACCTTGGAGTGGGTTTATAGGGATGTGATCAACCTTCTGGCACCTCTGGTGGATTTGAGGAATCCCAGACCATCAGGACGTTTTCCTGTCTGCACTAAAGACTCGAGGTACGCTCGTTAATTTTTTGGAAAAAGCTAATTTGTCTTCTTCAGAAGGGATCCTCGGGAGAGCCTTTCCTGCTGCCTCTAAGCCAGATGGGTCTCCTGTTGGGTCCAGTCCTGTCTTTTGAGTATTATCATTTTAAGATTTTTGATCTGACCTAGTCTCTGTTTTTGTAATCAAGTCAAGCCATTTGAGTTTTTAGTATCCAATACTTTGTTTTTTCTACAGCAGTGGTTCCCAAAGTTGGGGTCGGGACACAAAGTGGAGTCCTGAAAAGATTTTCTAAATTCATTACATTTTGCCTTAGTTGCCTAAAATGTACCCTGGTAAAAACCAGACCCTTGTCCTTCACTTTGCTTCATATGAGGGACTGGACTCTCTGTTATAGAGAAGTGATTCTTGCTGGAGGCGTGGCCTCTGCTAAAGTTTCTCTATGAAGGAGGCTAAGCTAAGAAGCTAACCGGAAATCGCATGTGCTGTAAACAACGCTACTGAGAGGAGAAACGTACAGAGCTGAACGAGATGGCTGTAAATGAGAGCTGCTGCTTTGTCAGCGAAATCCTTGTCTATGGGAGAAATCCCAGACGGAGCAGTGAAGGTAAACTAGAATTGAGTGGAGCAGTGTAGGAAGGCAAGGGCCAGCCTACCTAAAATGTATAAATGTAGAGTAATAAATATTGTTGCTATGCCCATGTTTAGTTGACCTGATACAACACAAGTGCTTATCATCCAAAAATTGTTATGGGCGCAGGTCTCTGCTACTGTTTTGTGTCAAAAGCTGAAAAGTTTAGGAACCACCGCACTT